GGTACCTCATTTGCAAAGATGAGATACATATATCTAATTATTTTCACTCGCTTGCATCTAACATCAATCTGCTGTATTTAGATCAGTGTCATATTTGCTCCTATATCAGCAACCTTCACAAAGAAGAACATTTACATCAGAGACCAAGCCCTTTGCACTACTTACCCAACCAAGAATCAAAAAGGCCATATAGAAACACTTTTCTTGTATCAATAATTGTATGTCACGTTGAATATGAACATGGAAATTTTTATTTTCTGCTGTGTGTTTGTGAAAGCCAAAATAATGATTTGTTCCTTTTGTCCAAATCTCTATGTGGTATTATTATTATTATTATTATATTTTTTTTAAAAAAAAGCTCTAAGAGGAGCTATCCTTCTGATTTAGCTTTGTGTTGGATCCTGCTTGTGGCAGTAACATGTCATGCTGCTTCCTTTCAAAAAATACTGAATGGCCTTTTTTAATGTGCCTCTCCTTGACTGGAGCAGATGCCCGTAGTCATGTGCTGTCCAAAGGTTTTAAGGAACAGACAGAAACTGAACAGGCATTAGATTAAAAAAACAGAATAAGTAATTTTATGTAAGTAATTTTATGTACATATGTAAAATATGTCACAGATATTGATTCATTTTTGGTCTTAATGTCATGTTTTCTGTTAGACATATTTATTTTGCCAAAACTTTTGTTTCCTTCTCTCCTGCAAAAATGCCACTGCTATACCAATAGTATCATCAAGATATGACCTGTGGCGTTAGTTACCATGCAAGACGGCAAAAATAATAATGTAGATAACAACCACCTCGTTATGACGGCGGATTGGTGCAGCCCATAACGTTTTTTTTAAAATGCATCTTAATTTAATCAAAATGAACCCCATTTTTGTTGGTTATAGTCGTTATATTCACAGTTGTACAAAACTGAAACTTTTAGGGAACATTAATCTTTTACCTCTCATTAGACTTGATCTCACTGGCCACTTGGTTAGATACACCTATTTAGCTTTAGTCAAGACGACCTCATCAAGCACACACTGATTATCAGAAGGAAGATGAAAGATGATCTAAGTGGCTTTGAACATGGCATGGTTGTTGGTACCAGAAAGGCTGGTCTTAGTATTTTAAAAAACTGCTGACCTACTGGGATTTTCCCCACACAACCCTCTCTAGGGTTTACAAAGAATGGCCCGAAAAAAAAGAAGCGAAAGTACCTTGTTGATGTTGAGGTCAAGGAGAAGGGCACGACTGCTTTGAGCTGATGATGAAGAGATGAGACTATAGCAGCAGAAGACTGCATGTGGTGTCACTCTTGTCAACTAACAACAGGAAACTAAGATTACAATTCACATGAGCTCACCAAAATTGGACAACAGAAAATCGCCTGGTCTAATGAGTCTCGAATTTGGCATAAACAACATGGAAGCATGGATCCATCCTTCATTACATCAGTGTGTCAGGCTGCTGGTGGTGTAATAGTGTGATGAAATTTTCATAGTACCAATTGAGCATCAGTCTACCTGAGTATTGTTACTGATCATGTCCGTCCCTTTATGACCACAATGTACCCATCTACTGATGGCTGTTTTCAGCAAAGCTCATATCATCTCAAACCAATTTGAGGTGATATGAGTTACTGTACATCATGTCTTGGACCTCAATACAGACCATGATGAAGATCATAAAATAAAGATATCAGGTGAAAAATTTGATGCCGTCCCTCCCCCCAGATTCAGTTGCTCTCAGTTTTGAATAATTAACGTGTGTATTGTATTTTCTGTGGTGTTAGCTTATCTTAACCTGCATTTCTCTGTATTTGTGGCATCTGTAACTTCAGTGTAGACCTGGTTTGTGTCTGTGCTGCAGGTGGCTCTCTCTCAGCTACTCAAAAAAAAAACAAAAACTGTACTGTACTTGTGCACATCATTCCCAGAATATGTAAAATAAGTTGGAAAGTGAAGTCTGCTGCTATTGTGCAACATATTTTTTGAGAACATATATATAATTTAATTTTTTTTAAAACAAAAGTATAACATACAGAATCTAAATTACAAAAAAACAAAACAAAACAAAACAAAAAAACTTGCCCAGCAATATTGACCTATGTCAGTAGCAAAGAATATCAGAAGGAGTCATCAGTATGAATGAAAAACCTGCATTGTTGTACCGGAGAAGTAATATTACCTAACATGTTGGTGTATTTAGGGATTTTGATTATATGTACTGTATTTGTGTGTATGCAAAAGACAGCGAGTCTGAGAGGGAGAGTGTGTGTGGGCTTGTGTATGTAACCATGAATGTAAATATTATGTACATATCAAAGCTGATGTTAGTGAAGTTTCTGGGTTAAATGTTTCAGCTCCTTGAGGGGACACGTGTGTCTCCGGCTTCGTCCAAGCGATAAGTCCATATACTGTGTCTCTGTTGTACATCCGCTGGTCCTCAGCTTTCACCTGCTACTCTGTGCGTGCGTGGTTGTGTGTGCGTTACACTTGCATGTACGTAAGAAAACTTGTGTTCTTTTATGCTCAACTTTTCTTTATTATTATAAATTCTTCTGGGAGAAAATGATGACAATATTAAGATTTTTGTTGAGGAAAACGTGAATGTATCACTCTTGTATGTTTTGTTCATCTATTTTTGAGGGGAGGGGGGATAGGCAGATGTGTGTCAACAATAAAGTTGTGAGTACTAATTGTGAAGGGCCTGCCGGTCAAGGGATGACTGAGCTTGATGTTCAGTGGTCAGCAAGTGTGAGAAAATGTGAAGAAGTATTTGCCAAATATTCAATTCCCTGTGATTGATGTTAGAAACTGGAAAAGCAGGGATTGCAGACTGTGCTGCTTTTGAACATATATAATAAAACTTATGTTCTCTAGCAAGTTAGTCTTCTGTGTCATGCTTGTGCTAAGCCTCAGATTAATATTAATACTGATGCTCCTATAAACATCTTTTATGTGCGTAAGACAACATAAGCCTTAAATTTAAGTGTATGCAGTAAGTTTAACTAAACAGTAATAGTTTACAAAGGTTATAAAGTTCAGTTTTTGGAGAAACTCTTTGAGAGAGTTCAGCATTTACACTCATTTTTGATGCAATAGTGGGCGGGTGTGTGTTTATGGACAGTGCTAGAGCCAAAGAGTGGACAGGCCACTCCAAACTCATGGGATGTTTGGGGACACCTACACAATCGCTGGTAAAGTCCATGAGCGGGTGAAGCACATACTTAGAAAACTGAAGTTACATCCACTAACTACTATTTCTGCAGGTCTTTTGCTGAACGACTGCTTTACTGTCCCTTTTGCCATGTGGAGACATTAAAGCAGCACAAGCATCCATTAAATTCTAATAATCTTACAGTTTTCAGCAGTTATATAACACTACATGACAGTTCAGCCCACAGAAGAAAATAACAAGAGGATATACAAAAACAAAAATAATAAAAGATGATGCCACAGAGAAAAAAAGAATACATAAATAACATGATTACAATAAAATGTAACAGTTGTTGTGCCAACCCAGTAAAAGATATGGTATTAATGTGGCCTCCACATCAAAAATTGTGTGGATGTGATCTTTTTCATTATATTGTACCACAATGGAAACAGTTTCCAACATTTTGCATACCTGCCAAATAAATACATGCAGATAAACACGTGGTTAGAGTAACTGTGTCCTCGAGGTAATGCTGCCTCCTAGTGGCCAAAACCGAGGACGTGAATCATTGCAATAGCTGCCAATGATTAATGTATAAAGAAGTCGGTATAGAGTCTTCTGTATACAGTCTTCTTTTGGCTGCTCCCTTTTGGGGGGTACCACAGTCATCTGCCTCACTCTCACCCTATTTCACGCATCTTCCTCGATCACACCAACCCTCTGTATCTCCTCCTTCACTGCATCCATGAATCTTATCTGCAGTTTTCCACTTTTCCTCCTGCCTGGCAGCTCTATGTTTAACATCCTCCACATGTCCAAACCTTCTCAGACTTGTCTCCCTAACTCTGTCTCCAAACTGCTCAGCCTGAGCCGTCTTTTTTGTCTACTCATTTCTAATCACTCCCAAAGAAGATCTTAACATCAACTCTGCTGCTTCCAGCTCCACCTCTTTACGTCAATGCCACCACCAAACTTTTCATCACAGCAGAACTCACAACCATCTTTTAAACGGTCTCTTTCATTTTTGCTGCTATTCATTTGTCAAAAGTATGTCCATCAGCACCGCAAACAAGCACCATCTTTCAACTCGTCTCTGTCTCGCTGTCCTCATACAGTCTTTCTATACAGTCTAAAAGTTTTAATTGATTTTTGAAATATTTTTTACGCAATAATATCTTGAAGTGATATTTTTAACCTCCCACGATGGCCTTTTATGATAAGAACACGTTGGACTAGTAAGTTTATATGACTTGCGCCATCAACTTTGCATACAAAAGTGAAACCTGAACTTTTATGCAAATTAGAGGACTTTAAAAAAACCTGTAAAGACACACCCAAGGCAGGGTTGTCTAAGCGAAAAAAAAAGCATCAAAATAACAAATAATGAAAGCACCAGGCAGAATTAAACATTCACAATTTACCATCTTAAAAATTTAAATAATAATAATACTAATAAAAACAGTTAAAGCTCTGCCCAGACTCACCTTATCACCAGCAGGTGGTGCAAGGTGCTAAAGCTCCGTCAGCGTTCCCGTCAATCATTTCAGCTCAGAGCTGAGCGGGGCAAGAGCACCGACCAGGAGCACTTTGTTCAGGAGGCACCACAAGCTGTGCACACCATGGGGTTCGTCTGCTGCAAGGCACAGTTAGCACTTTCATGAAACGTCTGGACACAGCTGTGCCTAATTTTTTCTCTCCATATACATCACTATTATTTTTCTTCCCCTAGTTACTAGTTAGTTTATTCACATCTGTATCTCCCGAGAGACGCGGTCGCCGGGTAACTTCAACGTTAGCTTAAGTTATTTCCA